TTTTGCCTAAATAAATACTTGTTGATTAATTGATTAAGTTTGTGAATGAGGAAGAATGTTGAAGATGACCTTGAGGTTGCAAACATGGGTGACTAGAAGGATGATGGTGCTCCAAAAGAAATAGGGAAATTAGGAAGAAGGGAGGATTTTGAAGAAAGATAATGAGTTCTATTTGTGACATTTGAGTTTGAGATGTCTAGGGAACATCTTGTTCCCAATGCCCAATAGTCAATTAAGTGGGATTCTAGTTTAGTGGAAAGTCTAGGACTGAATTCATAGACCGGAGAGTCATCTGCAGAGGGATGATTGTTGAAATCATGAGAGCTGATGAGATCACCAAGACAGCCAGTATATAGAGAGGACAGAGGATGTGCATACGCCCACATACAGGGGTTGCGGACCTGGATCATGTATGATCTGGCAAAGAAAACTGAGAAAGATTGGGCAGGTAGGTAGATGAACCAGAAGAGTGACATGAAAGCCCAGGAGGAGACAGTGTCTAGGAGGAGGGAGTGGTCAACAGTATTAAACGCCAAATGAGGCTGAGATGCAAGAAAGGATGAGGACACAGAAAAGACAACTGGATTTGGCATTTAAGAGATCTCTGGCAACCTTGGAAAGAGCAGTTGTAGTTCAATGATGAGGCCAGAAGCCAGATTAGAAGTGCTTTGACTTTGCTATCTCTCATTGTACCCCCTCCCCCAACCCCACCCTATCCGCAGACACATAGTACTTGAAGGGTACCTGCTTAGTCCTGTCTCCTTGCTAGGTTTGCTATCCAAGGCAGTATTCCAAGCTCCAGATCTTTCCCTTATTCCATCAATAATAATACTTCTAGGATACTTGGATGAACCTGAAACTTCATATATGTGAGTATTCCCTTCCTTGGTGTAGATTGTAGCTATTGTAGAGGATGAGAAGGTAGAGAAATTCTATGAAAAAATGTGATAAGCCCTTGCAAATTAAATCAACTTGTGCTTTAACCCTTGGTGACTGTAATGCACATGTGGTTTTAAAGGATACTGGCAATATATACATATATATGTATGAAAATATGATTTAAATACATGAAAAAGAAACAAAAGAGGTCAAGACTTGTAGAATACACTGAAGCTTCACATCTACATATCATGAACATTTTCTTTAACAACAGAGTTGGGAGGTGTGAAACATGACAAGCACTGAATAATACAGTCAAATCTGAAATTGATTCAATTGTAACAGATAGGAAACAACTGGTTATAAGCATGGGAGTCATTTTCCAATCAGCTGTGTATAGTTAGATGATGGATTTGTTAGAACCAGGATCAAAATCAATAAGAAATTAAAAGAATAAAAATAAGAAGGCATAACATGCAATTAAGACAGCTCAGGGTTTTAAAACAGTGAACCGCTGCCATGAACAAATGGCTGAAACAGTTGTAAATGCTATCTTTATGGCCTACTCATGGATGTGGAATAGAGATGAATGACTTTGAATTAATCAAAGCAGAAAGTAAAGTGGAAAGAAGACTTGAATATACTTATCTTATTAAGGGGATTAATTATGGACAAGTTTTTTTTTTAGTTATTCACAAATACCCAAAGAAGTAAAACATGTTAAAATTGCAATTCTTAAAAGCGTAAGTATTTGAACCACCTAAGCCAAAAAGTGTAATGTGAATTCTATGGGACATTTTAGGAACAGTACTGAAATATGGTCAGTAGAAATGAGATTTATTAAGTTAATTTATCAAATGAATTTAAGCTTATTGGTGTGAACTCAGTCTTCAACAAGCAAAAGAATGGGAAGTAATTAAAAGAACAGACATCAACATAGACATTCACTATATCCTAAAGAGAGAGTATTAGATGTTCTACTACTATTACCTAAAGAGGTAACAATTCTCACCAGCTTTAATTCTCTTTTTCTAGAACTGAGAAAGGCAATATAGCTTGATTTTAAAGAATTCAATTCAGTTCAACAAACCATCAGATTTAACTAAATCACTTGTTACAATGAAGAAGCCAAAAACCCTCAGAAAATTCCTTATTATGCAAAACAATGATCTTCCTGCCAAGCAGAAATAAGTGGAGGCCAAAGGCAATGCCAGTCTAGAATATTTTGGGGGGTAAAAATCTTAAAGGCGAGTATAGCAGAAGATGAGAAGTATTATCACCTCGCCTCCTAAAATAATGAAAAGTGGCAGAGTGAAAAAAAATCACAGAAAACTCGCCAAGAGACCTAATAATCCTCTGAGCATTAAAGGATGAAACTGGGAGGACAATATAAGATGAAAAATGGAAAAGCTCTGTAAGATTTTTTTTTTTTTTTGCAACAACCTATTTTCTCCCTCAAAGACAGTGAAGTCCACCATATTTGGATTCTAACATTATTGTCTTTAATGTGATACATGAAGAAGTAAAAATAATACTAAGGAAAAATAAGCTGGGAAGTGCAGCTGGACTAGATTAGGTACATACTTAAGGGTGATTCTCTTTCTTCTCTAAGAAGCCAACTGTTGAAGAAGTCTTCTTTCTCTAGGACACTGGTGTCTGAATATTTATAATCAGAAACAAATTTGGAATTGTCTAGGAGTTAACTTGCAAAGCTTTGCTGAAAATGTATCTTTCCTGGTTAGTAGTATAGATGCCAGGATTATATTGCTTAAGGAATTCACAATCATTCCTCCTAGGTTGGGGTTCAGGAACAGTCTTAAACTCCATCTCAGGCCTGTGCAAGCACATATCTAACATTGCCAGGTGTTTCTGCTGTAGGTTGTCAATACTGGTGGAGGAAGAGAGCCTGAAAAGGAGAGATCCCCTCTCCCTCCTTGCTGAACTCTGGAAGAAGGCATAGGGGAAAAGGCCTCAGTCTGTCTCCCTGAGTCAGTCACTGGGAACGGCTCAGGGATTATCCCCCTTTACATCATTATCTCATTTGCAAAGTAGAGTTGCTAGACCTTGTTGATTCAGGTGATAACAAAGTAGTGCTCAGCATCAGCATTTGATTACAGTTCTGAGGGTCCTGTGCTACCAGACAAATAAAGCAGTCTTCCCTGGCTCCTCTTTGAAATAGATAGCTAGAGATTCCTCACCACAGAGAATATTTTGATAAAAGTCTAGTACAACAATTACGATGGCTTTAAGCTGAATGATGACAACTTCATTGCTGTTAGTTTTCTTCTTAGGGAAGAGGAAAAGACTTTGAATTAAAGACTCACAAACCCCTTGCTTATGCAGTCCTTGCAAAGGTGGATTTCGTTTTATTTGCCCCACTTCTCTAGTTTGGCTACACATAAAGTCTTGATTTCATCAGAAAATTTCTGTTTATTCTATCAAAATAAATGAATGACTCTTCAGGAAACGAAGTGTAGCCTTTCTCTTCCGGAGATTAAGGGGAGAAAAAAAAAAAAACAACTACAATATCTGGAGCCTGGAACCAGTGAGAGACGGCTGTTTTCTCAGTCAGAAACTCCAAAGAAGGAACAATAGCATGGGGGCATCTTCATGTTTACTAAACAACAATGTTTGGGAACAGTTTGGAACCTTCGATTTAGCTTGGGAACAGTTTAGTTTCACTAAATAAGGTTGTTTGGGTTCATTTGGGGATGTCTAGCTAGCTTCAGACTTTATTTCGTTTCTTGTTTTTGTCAGGATATGAAGACTATCAAAACCAAGTAGTTTGTTTAGAGGACCAAATTGGGAAAAATAACGACCCAGTGGAAAACTTAGCTGCAAATAGCTTGTTACTGTCCATCACTACCAACCTGGTTGTCATGTGGTTCTTACTAATGGGGCCGGCAGGAGAGGCAGGCTGAGTTTTTCTAACATTGACAATGGAAAAGGAGCCCTCCTATCCTGTCTGCTGTCCCCCAGCCCTTTTCCTTCTGGATTCCTACTCCTCTGCAGCCATATTTGCCTTCACAGGTCTCTCTGCAGCCCCGAAGGCAGCGAGTTTGCAAGGGACAAGAGGACAGGAATTGGACCTACAAATTGATGCTGTTATTTAGGGACCAAGATACTTGCTTAGTTCCCACCACTAGCCTCCCCCGTTGTGTCCTAATGTTTCTAGTTCAAGGGGAAGTATAGCTCCTTCAACCTGCAAGACTAGCCTTACAATTAAGGAAGGTTAGCTGAGCTCTCCTAACATAAGGTCAAAGAGAGAAGCATCATCTCTTATTCTTCCCTCCTAGGGTTCGTTCCCCCCCTGGATTTGTACACCTCTGAAGCTACGACTGCGTTCATGGGTACCTCTGCCTGGAGGAACTGGTTTCCCAGGAATAATCCTGGAACTACGCATCAATGCAGTCACTTAGGGGCCAAGACATTTGCTTAGCCCCGACCTCCAGGCTCCCTCCCTCGGTCCTTACAGGGCTCCCACTTCGAGGGGAAATAGGAGCACCAGAGTCCCTCACCCTGCATGAGTAGTGAAGTAAACTGAGAGCTACAGAGGCAGTTGAGGAAACACCACAGCACATTCCCATGTATGGCTTACGTGCACCCAAACTGCAACACACACACACACACACACACACACACACACAGAGCTACTGAGGGCAAGAGTAGCAACTGTGCATACAGGTGTGTGGGGAGTGGGGGCGGGGGGTGAGGAAGAGAGGGAGGAGGTCCTCTGGGCTGGGATCATCCTAAATTCCCTAATGGGTCTAAAACCCTGAACTCGCCAAGCAGTTGACCCCTAGTTCTGTCTCCAGGGTCCCCCCAGTATTCTCTCCAGCGATCTCCCGCCAGTCACCCATGCCCGCCCCTTCGAGGGCAGGGCCCTATTAACCCGTCGCTGGCCCGGAGGGCGGTCCGCTTCCCCCCTCCCTCTCTCTCCCCTCCCCCTTCTCTATCTCCTCTCTCACCCCCTCCTCTCCCCCTCCCCCTCCCCTCGGTGAGGCGGCGGCGGCGGCGGCAGCAGCGGCAGCAACAGCAGCAGCAGCCGCGGAGGCGGAGGCGGCTGAGGCTGAAGCGGCGGCGGCGGCGGCGGGCGGGGCTCAGCTCGGGCTCCAGCTCCGGCTCCGGCTCGGGCTTGGGCTCGGCGGGCGGGCGGGCGGACATGGCGGCCAACATGTACCGGGTCGGAGGTAGGATGGAACCCGGGCCTGGGGGAGGAGGGGGCGGGAGAGCTGGAACCCTAACCGCTGGAGAGAGCGGGGGAGGGGGGTGTGGAGGACAGATCCCCTCCTCCCACCCAGCCCCGCTTGCCCCCCCCCCCCGGGCCCGGGGGGGGCCCCCCCCCCCGCCGCCCCCTCCCCACGGGGGACAGGGTCGCCCCCGCGTGTCCCCTACCCTTGCCTTGCTGGTGGCCGCCCCCTTTCCCCGTGCCTCTCTTTCCCTGGCACCCCCCTCTCCCCGCGTGTCCCCTCGCCCACGGGCCTCCCCCTCCCCCCGGGCCTGCTTGGGCCCCTCCCCCCCACAGGGTCAGGAGCAGATCGCCCTCCCATTCCCCCGGGGTATGAGCCCTTGGTGGTGAGGGCGGTCGAGCATCCCCCCTGCTCCCCCCTTTCCCCCCGCAATGTGGGTGCAGGGCAGTGGGGCCCAGTGAGTGTGGAGCCAGGCTATCCGTCCCCTGGCGGGGGAGCGTGGGGGCGGCCCGCCCCAGGAGCGGGCGGGCAGGCGGGCGGAGGGAGAGCCAGGCAGGCCTGTCTGCAGAGGCAGAGCCCTGGTTATCCGCCCTCCCCGCCCAGGGGCCCTGCTTTGCCCAGCCCAGCCCGGGCGCCAGTTCCCCCTGGAGGCAGCCCCTGATGGGGGGCAGCAGCGCCTTGGGTTAGCGCCTGCCTCTTCCAAAAGGAGAGTGATAACGTGAAACACAAACTTTCTCCCTCCTCGATTCCCTCCTGTCCCCTTCCTGACAAAATAATAATTCAGATGAGTGCAGTGCTGCGTCTGAGAGGCTGCTCTTGCTTCTCTTCTCATTAGCTCAGCTCATGGCTAGTGGTGGGAGGGATTGCACTGGTACTGGCTAAATGAGGCCACTTTGTAGGAAAAAGACAGGGAAACAGGCACCAAGAGAGACAATAACAATGGAAATCCAGCCTCTCAAATAAAACACACAGTGGGAAGTTTCCAGTGAGCCTATTAGATTGAGACAACAAGCCATACTTCAAATTTTTTCTCCTTTTTTTTTGTGGAAAGCTTGCTCTGATATCCACACATGATGCTAAATGGGCCCAAAGGGAGTGAGATGATAAAAAAGAATTTGCTGTCAGTTCCATGGGGCCCTGCCCATGTTAAAGTCCTTCCTGTTATGGCTGTGTAAAACATGTAAATATTTTCAGTTTTTCAGGTTACTATGACTCTCAAGTCCACAAGCATTTGCTGTACCAAGCCCTCCCCATTGTCTGTTGATCTATTTTTCAAAAGTTAGTTGGTCATTGAAATGTCATTTAGACATAGAAACCTTTAAGTTACTAAGTAGTTCTTGTATGAGGAAAATGGAGACATTTGTATTATAGTCAAGAGCAAATTGACTATGAGAGGAAAATAGTTGTACCTACTGCCTTCATCATATTCACTTCTTAGGATCATGGATATAGCATTGGATGTGAGAGAGCATATTGAGTGCCACTTATTTAGTGGGGGTTGAATAATTATACCTAATGATGTTTAATCAGCCTGCGGTAATGCAGAGACCATTGTTTTGAAGTCAGAGGCACTAGATTCTAAACTTAGTTCTGTTGATTTAGTGAATAGAGTTCAGGACTTGGAGTCAGGGATTAGAGTTGCACCTGAATACTTTAGCTCTGTGATTCTGGGCAAGCTTAGCTTCCTCATCTGTAGAATGGATTAATAGTTAGCATCTGTCTTACAGAGACTCAAATGAGTTGTCATGGGTCAGTTTTCTTAAAACTTAGAGCCTTTTGTAGAAGTGAGTTGCTTTTTAAAAATTATTGTTCCTAGTGTAACTTTGGGTAAGTCAAACACTCTGTGCCTCAGTTTCTTCACCTGTAAGTTGAGAGTGTTATACTCCATGATCTTGGAGATCCCTTCGAGGTCTAGTCACATAGGCTCACAATGTAGGTGTCATCACTGACTCCTCACTGTCTCTCTCACCCCCTCATATCCATTCATTGCCAAGTCTTACCTGTTCTACCTTTGAAATATCTCTTGTATATTCGCTCCTGTTCTCCTCTGACATTGACACCACACTGGTGCAGGTCCACTTCCCTTGGAGCTTGGACTATTGCAATAGCCTGCTGGTAGGTCTTCTTGCCTTACCTCTCTACACGTTCCAGTCTGTCCTCCACCCAGCTGTCAAAGTGATCTTCCTAAAGTGCAAGTCTGACCAAATTATTCCCCATATTTAGTCACATCTAATGGTTCCCTGTTGCCTCCAGGATCAAATATAAAATCCTGTGTTTGGCTTTTAAAGCCCTTCATAATCTGACCTTTTGTTATCTCGCCAGTCTTGTTACACCTTACTTGATTACTTCCCCTCCCCACCCCCACTCCCCTGCATGGACTTTTTCCTTCAGGGACAGTGCTTCCTTCCTCAAACTTATTCTCTCCTTCCCCCTGAGATTCTCTCCAATTTATTCTATATATATTTTGTAGTATTTGCCAAGTTTTATTTCCCATTAGATGATGAATTCCTTAAGAATAGAGACTGTTGCTTTTCTCTAGTGTTTAGCACACTGTTTAGCATGTAGTAGACACTACATAAATGTTTGTTGACTTGACTCTAAATCTAAGATCCTAGTTAACCATGTTAATTGAAATAAATATATAAATGAAATTCATTGCCTGTGGATTACAAACATGTGATACGTGTATTGTTTATTTTATTTAAACTTGGTTTTACATAGTGAATGAGCTGAGCTAAGAAGTTTGGAATGTGAATTGTATAATTTTTATGACTTGAATTATGTCAGAGTGACAAAATGATACTATTCTTTGCATGCTAATTTTGAAGTTATTAAAATATTTTTTACCTTTTATTGCAGATTATGTCTACTTTGAGAATTCCTCAAGTAACCCATATCTAATAAGAAGGATAGAAGAACTTAATAAGGTACGTACTAACTTTTTCCTTTGGTCTGGTTCACTGGAATTTTTACACGGTCTTGGGTGAAAGGCATGAGAGTTGTTAACACTTTGTGTTCACATTCTAGATCCCAAACTTTTTGAATGATGACATATTGAAACACATTATGGTTTAGAGTCCGGAATTGTTTCTTGCCTATTATTCCCTTTGAAATAACTGTTGCTGTTAACTATACCATACTTGATATTTGTAAAGTGCCATAAAATTTGCAGAGTGCTTTTTTACATTCTCATTTCATCTTCACAACTGTAATGTAGATACAGCAAATATTATTCTCCCCTTTTTGTGGGTGAGAAAACTGAGGCTCAGAGGTTGTGAATTAGGTGAAGTCATAGATGTCATGCCCATGAAATTTGTAGATAGCACTAAGCTGGAAGATATAGCAGATGACAGAATCAGCATTTTAAAAGATCTTGAAAGGCTAGAGCTTTGGGCTGAATCAAATAAGATAAAATATATATAAAAATATAAAATAAAAGTCAGTTCTTATACTTGAGTATAAAACATCATTTTCACATGTACAAAATGGGGCAGGCATGGAAAGATATTTTGGAAAAAAATGGGCCATTAGTGTGTTTAAATCATATGACTGAACGGTGTGATGTCGCAACAGTCAAAAAAACTAATGTGCAGTTGGGGCTACATTAAGAGAGGCAGAGCTTTCAGAATGTGGTTGTTATTGTTGGTCCTGTATTATGTTAGACTTCATTTAAAGTACTGTGTACGGATCTGGGAACCACAGTTTAAAGACATTAATAAACTGTTAAATATCCTGAGGAAGGTAGCCAGGATAATGAAAGTCCTAGAGTTTGTGTCCTATGAGGAACAGTTAAAAAACTGGTGGTGTTTAGCATGAGAAGGAGAAAACTTCTTAGGGCATGGTAGCTGGGTTCAAGGATGTGAGGGCGATCATGTTGAAGAAACATTAGATTTGTTCTGTTTGGTTCCAGAAGGCAAAATCAGGAGCAATAGGTGGAAAGTAAAGAGACTAATTTACATTTGCTGTCTAGAACTACTTCCCAACAATGAGAACTGTCTGGAATTGGCTTCCTTTTGAGGTTTTGAGTTGTGCCTCATTGGAAGTCTCGAGGCAGAGGTTGAGTCTAGATGGCCATCAAAGTCTTTCCCAACTCTCCAATTCTATAATTCTCATTCCATGGCTTGTTACACACCTAGTGACTGTCAGAAGCAGAATTTGAAGGTAGGTCTTTATGACTCTAAATCCAGCACTCTATTCACCATCTCATGCTGCCTCTCAATGTATATTGGATGCTTATAAACTTCTTGGAGCCCATCTAGGAAATCACTCATATAAAAATAGATAATAAGCATGTATGGATACTATCTAAATGTCTAAGAGGTTGCTTCTTATATTGAGTTGTAGCTTTTAATCCTTTTTTGATATATTTTTATATACTCAAATTTTATTGTGTCAAATTATCAAGCATTTATTGGGTGTTTACCTAATAGGTAAGCCAGGTGCTGTGCTAAGTGCTGGGGATTCAATGACAGGGAAAAATGGTCCCTAGCCTGAAGGAGCTCACAGTCTTATGGGGAAGACAACATGCAAACTATGTACAAATAAGATTTGTAGAATAACTTGGAGGTAATCTTAGAAGGAAGGTATTACTAGGGTGAGTAGGAAGGGAAAGGCTTATTGTAGAAGGCGTAGCAAGCCAGGGAAGCCAAGAGTTGGGAATGAAGAGGGAGAATGTTCCAGGCATGGGGAATAGCCAATGAAAATGCAGGGAGTCTGAAGATGCTGTTCAAGAATAGCAAGGAAGAAGAATACCTTAAAAAAAAAAAAGAACAGCAAGGAAGGGCAGTGTCACTGAATGATAGAGTACATGAAATGTAGAATACATGAAGCACAGAGTAAAGTGAGATCAGATTGGAAAGGTAGAAAAGGGACCACTATGTGGAGTGCTTTAAAGGCAAACATAGGATTGTATATTTGATCCTGGAGTTGGTTACCACTGGAGTTTATTGAATGAAGAGCAGTGTGTGTGTGTGTGTGTGTGTGTGTGTGTGTGTGTGTGTGTGTGTGTG